CGCTCGGCGACCGCACAAGAGGCAAGCCATGGAGGGGCCCGTCCGCGGCCGCGGCGCGCCTCGGGGCGACCGCAGAAGCGAAAAGGCCGCGGCTGCGCCGGCTGAGTGCTGGCGGAAGTGAACATGAGCGTAGCTACCCTGATGCGCCCATGTAGGATCGCAACACGTGCCGTGTTCAAAGCGTCTGTCTGTGCTGACTCGCTGCGTGTTGGCTCGGCACGTGTTGGGCCATGTTTTGGCGTCCGCATCGCGCCAGACCTACGTTTTCGGTCTGCGTGTTTGGCTCCGTGTCGCCGCGCTTCGGGTGGCGTGTTGCGTCTCGGGGGGGCTCAGAGCGTGCGACGTCAGCGTTTACGGATTCAGGGTGTCCCGGAGCCGGCCGCGTGGGAGGCGCAGACCAACGGGGTCGGCCTCGCGGACACGGGCGCGCAAGCTGTCCGCGCAGGGTCTCGCGCACGCGCCCTCGTTCGCCGCGCGGTGTGCCGTGCGCGTGGCCCGGCGTGCGCCGCCGCGTGAGGTCGCCGTGCCGTCCTGCGCAGGGCCCCCTGCTCGCTTCGTGCACATGTGGGCCCTGCCCTGAAGTCGGGCACGTCCCTCTACAGGATGTATAGTTAAAGATCGTCAATAGTAGTCGGGGGCGTGATTTTTTCCGTTCTCATTTTTGACTATCTTAGTATTTTTGAGACATTTTTCATTGTTCGTCCAAAATCCGCCTGTAGGAGGACATGCCCGATCTAACCCTACCCCTGCGGGTGAGCTGTCTGAAACACCGGAGGGGGCCAGAGTCTGCTGGACGCCTGCAGCTAAGCAAGCCCCTGCGGGAACGTCTAATTCCGCAGGGTCGAGAGGACCCGCAGGCGGCTGGCAAGTGTTCGCGGTGCGCAGGCAGCTGTCCGCAGGGCGGTACATGCACACGGGCGATCGCAGGATCTGCCCCCAAGCGCCGAGGGGATTCGCTCGATTTGAGGGCACTTGCCCTGCAAGTGGCTGCGCGCCTTGCCTGGTCGAAGCAGGACCGTGCATGCTGTCGGAGTCATGATGGTATCCATGTGCGCGGCGGTTTTTGCTGAGCCGAGGTCTCCCTGATCGCATTCAATGAAGCGGCGTCCTTCAGGCGCGTGGGGGGGGGCGCGTGGGTAGTCCCATGGGCTTGCTTCGCTGCCGATGAGATACAGTCAACACCTGTGAACAAGGGCCACTTTGATTTCGCAAGGGGGGCGGGGTTCCTTGGGTCTCTCCTCAGGTCTTCTCCAGGCGCGCCTCGCAAATTTAGGCGCACTGGGGGGCAAACGAAGGGCTTCGTTCAGTAGTCAACGTCCCTTACGGCAAGACTTTGGCTGTATCCAAGCTCGTTCCGCCACCGCTGATCTTTCTCACCCGCTCCATCCTTTCCCCCATGGTGCCTTGCCGTGAAGCGCTGGTGTTTTTCGGCAACGCCCTGGCAGCTTCGCTCGTCTTCTAATCCGTCCCCTTCTTCCTCTCATTTCCCCCACAGCTCCTGCTGCGTCTGCTCCTCCACTCTCATCACCTCTCCTTCCCCTCCTCCTCCTCCTCCTCCTCCTCCTCCTCCTCCTCCTCCTCTTCCTTCTCTCGTGCCCAGGGGCCGTGACCTCCGTAGTGGCCAGAAGCGAAGAGGGGTGCGGTCCCCCGGGTGCACGATGTCATCAGGCGTCATCTCTCGAGGCGACTGGCGCTCTGGGACGGGCAGCGGAGTCGCGATGGCACCATCTGGTCTCGCCGAGCACACCCGCAGTCCCGCAGAGCTTGCAGAGGCACTCGCGCCTCACCCTGGCCAGCTCGCCGCGCGCAGCCTCGCGGCCTCCTCTGGAAGGGGCCTTCTCACCGAGGGAGCCGAGGGCTGATCTCTCTCTCTCTCTCTCTCTCCCTCGCTCGCGTGGCGGTGAAAGTCGCATCGCTCTCTCTGTTCGCTTTCCATTCGGTCCCACTTCTTGGCTCTGTCTCGCCCCTCTTGCCTCCCCTGCCCCTCCCCCCTCTTGCACGTGCACCGGATCTTGCACAGTGCTGTCCTCTCCCAGTCCTCTCGGAGGGCCAGCGCGCCTCGCATCGCGCCCGTCGCTCAGCGCCGGGCCGCGATGACGGCCGTCTTCTCCTTCGTCTTCCCTCTCTCCCTCGGCGGCAGCTGGTGGCGGCCCCCTGAGCTGCTGCCTTCCATATCAACCGATCGGCTCGTTTCCGTCCCGTTCGGATGCTGGACCTTTATTCGCCCTTCGCGCTCGGCGGTAGCCGGCGGCCGGCCCGCGGAAGCAGGGCGGAAGGTCAACGTGACGGCGGCGCCTCCTGCGGAAGCTGTCTCGGACGCCAGGGCCCCGCCGGCAGAAGTCGGTGGAGGCCCGGAGCCCCAGCGGAACTGGCGGCGGAGGCAACGGCAGGCCTCCTCAGAGAGGTCAGCACCGACGTGCCCGCGGCCTCTGGAGTCGGGCATGCTTCTGGTCGGACACTTTTGGATAGCGTGTCGTTCCGCCGGTGCTGGCCCCACCATGCCTCGGCGCGACGCGCTGACCATTTCGCGCTCCCCAGCGTGAACGTCCCGAGCCTTTCCCAGCATGCCGCCCCGCGGAGTGGAGCGAGACGCCATCCACTCGCACGGCACAGCCTGTCGCCGGGGCCGCCGCGGCGACACGCTACGCAAAAGTTCGCGAGACAGTAGAGGCTCACTCCTACGCGTCGCAGTTTTCGCGCAGTTATGGGGTGCCGTAAGTCTGGCTCGATTGTCTGGCAGAAGCACGGCGCAGCTGCTAGGAGGCATATTTCTTAAAAGTGCGGCGGAAGCATGGCCCAATAAATACAAGCATCCTTTAAGGCCCCTGAGGTCTTCAAATGCCCCTCCAGAGGTCCCAGGGGGTCCCTGGAGGTCCCTAGAGCTCCCAGAGCATCAAACATGTCAAAACATCCGTGTGAAGATCGCAGCAGGCAAGTAAGACCATTCCCAACGGCGGCTTTCACATATTTTTGTTTACATTGGCTTCCTTCGCACTGGTTTCTGTCTACATCTGCATTCTCATGGGCTCGTCGACCTTCTGTTGTTCAGCACCTGTGTGCTGCCAGCACCATCCCCCCGAGCTACCAGGCGTCATACGCTTAAAGGCTTCGAGTGCCTTCGAAGCGCAAGTATCTCTGAAGTGTTCGCACGTCGCGCTCGTGCTCTCACTGTTCAGGTCGCCAGATGTGCCTAACACTGCGTGCGCGCAACGGCATGTTCGCAACCGTGTTCTGTTTCTGCTGGCACGTGCCTGATGATGTCAAGGCTTATCCGCGCCCTGGACGGGGTGGCCTCTTTCGGTTTTTGTTTCTCCACTCACTCTCGTGCCAGATTTAGGGCCCCCCTCCCTCTTTCTCCTTTTTCCCCCCTGCCTGAGTTCATCCATAACGCCGTCACAAAGGGATTACGTCACAGGGCCTTCCTCGCAGCGGTATTCCAATATACTTGGGGGATGAGGATGTGAGTAAGATGATGTGAACACGAGCACGACAGATGGAGCGGATGGGGGACGATGTTGGGAGATGGAGAGGAGGGGGGCGGGATGGGGATGTCGACGATGGTTCTGGTAGACAGACATAAGCCATAGACCTAAATCGTGTGGCAAGACAGAACGGACCGACGCATCATAGTGCGAGACTCGCATATCGGCACTTTCGAGCTCTGTATTGGGCATGGTCTAAAAGCTGCCAGGTGGTCCCGAAAACCTTTGAACAGGTGGGGCAGGCCGTAGCCCCTCCTGGGATCACGGACGCCACAGGTTTCCGTTGGCCGTGAACCCTCATCCTATGCGTAGCCACGGCTTTACTGCTACTGAACACTTTGGCACACTCCGTGTACAAAACTGGAAGAGGCTCTGTGGACTCTTCGGCAAAAGACGCCGATCCCAGCGTGATGTGCTGGGCGAGACGTTTCCACGTCCACCAGTCGATGGCCTTGAATTCTGTCCATACGGCTGCTCCTATTGCTGAGCTTGGGTCCCCTAGGTCGCGCCAGGCTGGTGGTGGCGCCAGCCCGGGAATCGCCTCGAGGTCGGCAAGATTTCTGGCTGACCACGGGGATGATGACGACGATGATGATGACGATGCTGATGATGATGATGATGATGCTGATGATGATGATGATGATGATGATGATGATGATGATGCTGATGACGGTGATGATGATCATGATGGTGGTGGTGGTGATGATGACGATGCTGATGCTGATGCTGATGATGATGCTGATGATGAGGATGATGACGATGATTGTGATGACAATGACGACGATGATGATGATGCTGATGCTGATGATGAATCTGATGGTGATGAATAAGAAGAAGAAGAGATACTGTGATGATGCTGACGATGATGATGACGACAATGATGCTGCTGATGCTGCTGATGATGATGATGATGGTGGTGGTGGTGATGAGGACGAGGGCTAGGATGATGAGGGTAACGATAATGAGGTCAGGGGATGATTATGACGATGCTGATGGTGATGACGATGCTGCTGCTGCTGACGACGACGACGAGGAGGAGGAGGAGGAGGAGGAGGAGAAGGAGGAGGAGGAGGAGGAGGAGGAGGAGGAGGAGAGAGGAGAGTGGGGGAGGAGGAGAGGGATGATGATGATGATGATGATGATGATGATGATGATGATGATGATGATGATGATGATGATGATGATGATGATGATGACGACGACGACGACGACGATGATGATGATGATGATGATGATGATGATGATGATGATGATGATGATGATGATGATGATGCTGATGCTGATGATGATGATGATGATGATGATGATGATGATGATGATGATGATTCTGATGACGATGACGATGACGATGATGACGATGACGATTCTGATGCTGATTATGATGATACTGATGATGCTTATGATGATGAGGAGGAGGAGCAGGAGGAGGAGGAGGGGGAGGAGGGGGAGGAGGAGATGGAGGACCACATAGGCCTCAACCAGCCGTGGTGCAGTGTCTTTCTGGATGTATATTGTCGGATGCTGGACACCGGTCGAGGGTCTCGAGAAGACGCTACTTCCGTCGAAGCGGCAATCAAGAACTGCGGTCGGACAAAGCAGTGGAGCGCAGCGCTGCGGTTGCTCCGCGAAGGAGCTCGATTGGGTGTGCAACCCGTCCGAAGCCACTACGTTGCGACGGTCACCGCATGCAGAAAGGGCGGGCAATGGCAACACGCGCTGTCAGTGTTCAGCGAGATGTGGGAGGTGGAGCTGGAGCCCAGCGTCACCTGTCCTACAATGCCAGCCCCAGCGCGTGCCAGGGGGGGGCATCGACTCCGCCCGCCGGACCCGCGGTGGCGGCGCCTCTGCGGCCCCGCTCGCTGAGCGATGTCGTCCTGGTCCAGGAGAGCCCCGCGAGTGCCCCGAAAGGCCCCCAGGGTGCTCCTCTGCAGCGCAAGAGGTCGCCTGGACGGCCCGAGAAGGCCCTCACTCGGTTCCGCAAGGCTCCCGCAGGGTTTCCGAGATGGCCACGAAAGACGAGCAAGCTATTGGTACTCTCGATGTTGTCCACACTTCTTACGATCGCTTCTCAGGCCAAGAGACGCTCAACCCACCCCGAAAAGACTCCCCATTGGTTTGGAGGGCGCACGGGGAGCTCCCAAGAGAGCCTCTACGACGGCCGCGGAGACCCTCCAGACGGCTCCAGGGAGTCCCAAGATAAGATGGCCGAGCAGCCCCGGAAACTGCCCCAAGGGAGGCCTAACAGGGCCAACTCTGGAGGGCTCCACCCCATCCCGCCCCCCCCCCACGGCCAGCACGCCCCCCCAAAGCCCCCCCAGAGGCTCCCAGACGGCCTTCGGGACACTTCCCAGAGGCTTCCGGAAAGCCTCCAGCAGCTCCCTCGAAACGGTTCTGACATGTTCCTGGATGGCCACAGCCCACTGGAAGAAGTGATACCCCACGGGCTCCCAGAAGGCCTCCAGCAGCTCCCTGCAAATGGCTCCGATAGGCTCCCAGAGAGCACCAGATAATTTTGGGACACCTCTCGCGCGGGAAGGGGTTGCGGAAAGTAGCTGTCCGATTCAGCCGCGGGCATTCAGGAACGCTGTCTCTGTGACCACTCCCGCGCCGAGCGTGTCCCAAATGGTGTGGGGTGTGGTTTTTTCTCATCATCCTGGGCCTCCTCCTTCTCCTCCCTGTCGCAGCTCTCCTCTGCCGCAGAGGCTCCCAAGAGGCCCAAAGGGAGATCCACAGGGGTTCCCCATGACAGCCCTGAAAGGGCAACATTGGCCCAACTCCTGATGGAACGTGCATTTTTGCCAGATTCGTTTTTTTCCAAACCGTCCTGTTTTGAGTTGGGCCCTCGTATTGAATCACCAGCGCCGGGCGTCCCACTCCTCCTTGCCCTCCTCCCCCAGTGGTTGCGTCCGCATGCCGCCACCACCCCACTTCGGCACACCCCTCAAACGTTTCGTGGCCCCATAGGGAGCTCCACCTGAAGCCTCAGTGGTCGCGCCAGCATGCCGCTACCACCCCATTTTGGCACACTCCTCTTGCGTTTCGTGGCCCCATGGGATTCTTCACCTGAGGCCCCAGTGGTTGCGCCCTCATGCCGCCACTACCTCACTTTGGCACACCCCTCCTGCGTTTGGTGGCCCAATGGGATTCTTCACCTTAGGCCCGAGTGGGCGCCCGCATGCCGCCACCACCCCACTTAGGCGTACCCCTCACACGTCTCGTGGCCCAATTGGAAGCTCCACCTAAGGCCCCACTGGTTGGCGCACCTCTCACACGTTTCGTGGCGAGCTCCACTTACGGCCCAAGTGGTTGCACCCGTAGTCCGCCACGACTCCACTTTGGCGCACCCTTTTTTCGTGGCCCCATAGGGAGCTACACCTGAGGCCCGAGTGGGCGCGCCCGCATGCCGCCACCGCCCTACTTTGGCGCACCCTTGCACGTTTCGGGACCCCAGAGGGAGCTCAACCTACGGCCCCAGTGGGCGCGCCCGCATGCCGTCACCACCCGACTTTGGCGCACCCCTCCATCTAAGGCCCAGGTGGCTGTGCCCGCATGTCCTTCCTTCACACGTTTCGTGGCCCAATAAGGATCTCCATCTAAGGCCCCAGCGGTTGCGCTTGCATGTCTCATCCAGGCCATATCGGCGCACCCCTCAAACGTTTCGTGGCCCCATATGGATCTCCACCGGAGGCTCATGCAGGCCCGATTGGTTGCGCCCGCATGCCGCCACTTCGCCATTTTGGCACACCCATCACGCGTTTCGTGTCCCCATAGGGAGCTCCGCCGAAGGCCTCAGTGGCGGGAAACGCAATGCGTGACCGCGCCTATTTCGGCACACCCCTCGCACGTTTCTCGGGCCCCTAGGGAGCTCCAGCGAATGCCCCATCGGCAGGAATCGCATGCGTGACCGCGCTTATTTCGGCGCACCCCTCACACATTTCGTGGGCCCATCAGATCTCCACCAAAGCCGCCGGCTGCTCCCGAGACCACGCTCTGCTGCTCCCCAAGGCTGGGTCGGCAGACGCTCAGATCAGCCGTGACGGGCGGGTTACATCCAGATGTAGCCCGTTGCCGTTGACCCTGTGACCCCCATCACGCGCGCCTTGGTCCTCTTGCGAGCCCCCTCCCTTAGTTTCCACCTTTCTCGCGGTACTCGCAGCTGCATGTGGTTGTGTCCTTCGCCATGCCAATTTCGTCTTCACAGCGTTCCAGCCAGCAGGCCTTGGAGGCTCTCAGCATCTCCCTAAGACAGCCTCTGAGCTTCAGCCCCCCCGCGAGAGCCCCAAAACGGCCCAAAACGGCCCCAGGACGGCCCAAGATGCGCCCACGACGGCCCTAGACGCCCCCCACAAGGCCTCCATATAAGCGGCGCAGGACGGCCCAAGACGGCTCCTGAACGGCCCCAGAGGCGCCCCGGAGAGCACCAGACGGTCACAAGACTGCCCAAGTGGTGCCTAATGGCGGCCCAGGAGGGCCCCGAGAGGGCCCAAAGCGTCCTTCAGAGGCCCCTACACAGCTTTCAGGACGGCCCCAAGACGGCCGTAGTCGGCCCCAAAGGCTTCCTAGACGCCCGAGGAAAGGTCCAAAAGGGTCCCCAAGACAACACCGAAATGCGCAATTCGTTACACTCAAAGTGAGGAAGGCACACACGCATTTTGTGTGTATATATACAGATGCATACACATACGTATACAGGTAGACGGCTATACATATATAATTACTCCGACGGAAAAACCCCACATAAGAATCCTCTGGGCGAATCTGGAAAAAGCCATCACCGTCGTCCTCGTGGTTGGTGAGGCGTCCTGGCTGTCTCTTCTGCGTATATTTCCTCTCGCCTTGGCGCGGGCCCCCCTTCCACTCCTTACGTTGTCCCCATCCTCGCCCCCCTGTTTGTTCCGCGCCCCGCCACCTCCTCCCCTTCCTGTTGCATGAGCGCGCATGTCGATGTTCCTCGGCGCCGTCGCCGCCACGGCCAGCACAGGCGCGTTCTCTACTGGTCACGTCGCGCAGCCGTTGGGACAACCCCGCGGGCCAGGCTGTCGGGACAACCCCGCGAGCCGTTGGCGCGCAAGACCAAGCCGTTGGGACAACCCCGCGGGCTTCGAGCGAGGCGCAGCCGCGCTCAGGCGGAAGGCAGCACGAAGCCCAGCTCTGCCGCGAGCTGCTTCGCCTCCGCCCTGGACAAAACCGCTCTCTTGTCGAACTCCAGGAGCGCCTTCCGCAGGGACGCCGGCGGCCCGCACTCCAGGAACTCTCGCGGCGGCGGCCGCAGGATCAGCATGTTCCGCATGCACGTGGCGCGGGAGAACATGACGTAGAGGTGCAGCCACCACTGCTCGTCCGACATGCCCGTGCGGCCAGCGTCCTCGTCTCTCGCGCAGTCGATGGTGACGCCCTTGCGCAGCGTCTGGCCCTGCGACAGCGTGGAGGTCAGGTAGGACGCGTGCGTCAGGGTGAACCCCGAGCGGCGCACGCTGTGCGCCCCCGAGCTCTGCCATGTGAACTCCCTTTCGCTGGGCCTGAACATCAGCAAGCTCCGCGCCCGCGCCTCGATCTCCCGCCTGAGACTTCCTCCAGTTCACTCACAGACGAGGCTCCCGCCTGAGACTTCCTCCATATTCAGGCTTGAGGAGCCCAAAAGTGACGACAGTTACAGGGTTCCGATGACCCGCTCGGATTACCAACATGATCTGCGGGCCCCATAGGGAGGGGGCTCCCGCCTGAGACTTCCTCCAATTCACTCACAGACGAGGCTCCCGCCTGAGACTTCCTCCCAGGCTTTGACGACAGTTACAGGTTCCGATGACCCGCTCGGATTACCAACATGATCTGCGGGCCCCATAGGGAGGGGGCTCCCGCGTGAGACTTCCTCACAATTCACTCAGAGACGAGGCTCCCGCCTGAGACTTCCTCCAAATTCAGGCTTGACGAGCCCAAAAGTGACGACAGTTACAGGTTTCCGATGACCCGCTCGGATTACCAACATGATCTGCGGGCCCCATAGGGAGGGGGCTCCCGCTTGAGCCTTCCTCAGAATTCACTCACAGACGAGGCTCCCGCCTGAGACTTCCTCCAAATTCAGGCTTGAGGAGCCCAAAAGTGACGACAGTTACAGGTTTCCGATGACCCGCTCGGATTACCAACATGATCTGCGGGCCCCATAGGGAGGGGGCTCCCGCGTGAGACTTCCTCCAATTTACTCACAGACGAGGCTCCCGCCTGAGACTTCCTCCATTTTCAGGCTTGAGGAGCCCAAAAGTGACGACAGTTACAGGTTTCCGATGACCCGCTCGGATTACCAACATGATCTGCGGGCCCCATAGGGAGGGGGCTCCCGCCTGAGACTTCCTCACAATTTACTCAACGATGATGAGGATGAGGATGATGAGTGGTGGTGAAGATGAGTGGTGAAGAGGATGATGATTGATTGTGAGTGGTGGTGGCGATGATGATGTTTGAATGAGGATGATGCCGATGCCGATGATGATGATGATGATGTTCGTGAGCGTGTGAGAGAGTGCGAGTGATGATGATGATGAGTATGTGAGTGACTAAGCATGTGAGAGAGCATCATCGATGATGCTGATGAGGTTGATGATGAGAGAGTGTGAGTGAGTGTGAGTGGGTGTGTGTGTGTGTGTGTGTTGTTCCTGTTCCTGCGCGGGGTGTCCAGAGAAAACAAGAACCCCACTTTGGATGTGGGGAAGTATATATATACAGATACGTATACGCTTGTCTTTATAGACGTATTTACACATCTATAGGCGTATTGGCATGCTTGTTTTTTCGTCTTCGCAGCGTTCCAGCAGGCCCTGAGGCCCTCAAATTCCCCCAAGATAGCCCCAGAGGCCCCCATGATAGCCCCAAGACGGTCCGAGGACGGCCCAAGAAGCGCCCAAGACGGCCCAAGAGGGCCCCCAAAGGGGAAACTCGAACTGACATTGTGCGCCCTACGCCCCAAGGTGACCCCAAAGACCACCAGCAGGCCCCCCAAAAGACCCCCCGACGCCCCAGGAGGCCCCCAAGACGCTCAATCTGGCCCCAAGAGGCCCCAATGGCCCCGAGAGGCCCCAAGACAGCCCCAGAAACGCCTCGAGAAGGCTTCCAAGGGAAGATCACTAGGGAGCTCTGTGATCGCGCCGGCCATCCAAGAGAGCCCCATGAGCGAAGGATACCATCTGTTCGGCCATACGCACGCCGAGGCAATGGAGACATGCGTTTGCTGGCTTCTTCGCATGACTCCCTTCTCACTCCTTGCTCCTCGCTCCTCGCTCCTCCCAGCTCTCTCCTCCCCCCTTGTCTTCCTCTCCACGCTTCCGGCTCCTCTGTTCTCACTCCTCCTCGCTCCTTCCACCTCTCTCCTGGCCCCTCGCTTCTCCCTCCTGGCTACTGGCGCCTGCCTCCCCTCCCCTCTCCTCTTCGGCTCTCCCTTGTCCCTCCTCTTCCTCTCTCTGTCTCTATCGCTCTCTCTCTCTCGCTCTCTCTCCTCGGCCGTCGCTCCTCCTTTTTCGCTCCTTGCTCCTCGCTGATCGCTCCTCGCTTCCCCCACCTCTCCCCTCGACCCTGACTCATCGCTCCTTGCTCCTCGTCTTTTGCTTCACTCACGAGCTGCAGGTTGCGTCGTCTAGCAATTGTACCAAGAAGCAGCATCCTAAAGCCTCACGCAGCAACAGCGACCCAAAGCAGTCCGCAGCAGACAACGGCAGCACAGCACAAGTAAGCAGCAGCAATATGCCGTAGGCAGCAGCACCTTGCAGCTGCAGGCAGCAACACCAGAGGCGACGTTCGGGCCCAACGCGATTACGACAGCCTTTTGGCAACATCTCTGCCCTGGTCCAAAGTGGCATGTCGGACTTGGTTCGTGGCCAGTAGGTCACTGGCCATCCCTAGTCTGTTACAATGCTGGGATCAGCGCGTGCGAGAAGGGCGAGCAGTGGCAGCGGGCGCTGGCGCTGTTGAGCGAGATGTGGGAGGTGAAGCTGAAGCCCAGCGTCGTCTGTACTACAATTCCAGGCGAAGCGCGTGCGGAAGGGGCGAGCGTTGCGCGATCCTCGCGCGCCTTGGGTCGCCAGCGGGTTCCCCCGATGGTCCCGTGCCGACGGCTCCAAGCCAGCCTCAGACAGCCCGAGGACAGCTCTGATGCTCTCAAGCGGGCGGCAGGACGGCCCAAGAGGATCCGAAGCGAGCCCCATGGCGACCCACGAGGGCCCGAAGACAGGCCAGGAGGCTGCACGGACGGCCCACGATAACCCCGATGACGGTCTCTCGATGCCAAACATCAAGCAAATTCCCCAAGGTTTTCGCGGTTTTCCATCTTCTCCTCATGACGGGCTCAGATCGGCCCCACACGGCCCCAGACGGCCCAACAGAGCCTCAAGTGGCCCCCGAGATAGCCCCAAGAGGGCCCTAGGAGCTGCCCAAGAGGGCCCAAAGCGGACTTCAAGACCCACGTGGTCCCAAGACGCCCAAGAAGGCCCCGAGACGGCCCAAGAGGGCCCCAAAATGGTCCAAGAGGGACCCAAGAGCTGTCCAATAAGTATCGCTCCGAGATGCTCTACAGCCTCCAACAGACTCAGACAGTTGCCAAGGAGTTCCTGCGAGAGCTTACAGCCCCGGCACCTTTCGCCGTTTCTGGATTCCCAGAAGCCCCAAAGAAGCCCTCGACCCCACAGAGTCCCCAGATTATTTCTGGTGCCCCACATCCCCCCAAGACATTCCGATAGTTGCCCAGGAGCTCCCAAGAGAGCCTCAAGGCCTGGCACCTTGAACCGTGTCTGCATCCCCCGAAGCCCTAAAGGAAACCCGAACCCAAAACAATGTCCCAGAATGCCTGTCTACCTGTTCACCTCCCTCCTCCTCCTCCTCCTCCTCCGCCTCCTCCTCTCTCCTCCTCCTCCTCCTCCTCCTTCTCCTCCCTCTTCTCCTCCTCCTCCTCCTCCTCTCCTCCTCCTCCTCGGTGTGCCTTCACACCCTTCTTCCCAGTGACGGTCTCCTCCTCCTACTCTTCAACTCCCTCCCCATCGCCCTGTCCTCCTCGCCTCTCTTCACAGCAAGCTTCAGCCCCCCCTACGGCCAGTTAGGGGTGACGGTGACAGGGGGGACCTCCACGACAGTAGCCCCAAAGAGAGTACCCTACCCCAAACAGGGCTCCAGATAGCTCCTCTCCCCGTTCTCCTCTCTTCTCCTCTCTTCTCCTCTCTTCTCCTCTCTTCTCCTCTCTTCTCCTCTCTTCTCCTCCTTCTCCTTTCCTCTCTTCTTCTCTATTCTCCTCTCTTCTCCTCTCTTCTCCTCTCTTCTCCTCTCTTCTCCTCTCTTCTCCTCTCTTCTCCTCTCTTCTCCTCTTCTCTCCTCCTCTCTTCTCCTCTCTCCTCCTCCTCCTCCTCCTCCTCGTCCTTCTCCTTCTCCTCTGCCTCTTGCAGCCTCCCCCCCTCTCTGATGCCGCTCTCCTTCTCCTTCTCCTGCCTGTCCTCCTTCTGCACGCCCGCGCCACAGCAGGTCTCGGCCCCTCCCTACGGCCCGTCAGGGGTGACAGGAGAGACCTCCACGAAAGCCAGCTCTGGGAGCCTCCAGCCCCATCTCTTTGATGCCGAGCTCCTTCCCCTTCTTGTGTTCGCCTCCCTTCTCCTAACCCTCTCCAGCTCTCCCCCCTCCACGCGCCAGAACGTCTCCAAACCGTTCCTACGGCCGGTCGTGGGTGACAGGGAAGCCTCAAAGCAAGCTCCAGACCGCCAAGAGGCCCCAGACCATTTCTAGATGCTCTGAAGCACCCCCCCAATACACTCCCCGATAGTTGTCCAGGAGTACCCAAGAGAGCCTCAAGGCCTGGCACCCTTTTCCGTACCTGCCGTTTCTGGATCCCCCGTGGCCCAAAAGAGAACCCGAACCCCAAACAACATTCCGTACAACCCCTCGCCCTGTTTTCCTCTCTTTTCTTCTTCTTCTTCTTCTTCCTCCTCCTCCTGCTGCTGCTGCTGCTGCTGCTGCTGCTTCTCCTCCTCCTCCTCCTCCTCCTCCTCCTCCTCCTCCTCCTCTGGGTGCCTCCACACCCTTCTCTATGGTGCCACTCTCCCATTTTCCTCCCTGCGCACACCAGCAAGCCTCGGTCCCCCCCCCACGGCTGGTTAGGCGTGACAGGGGGGACCTCCACGACAGTAGCCACAACGGAGCCCCAGACCCTAAACAAGGTCCCAGAAAGCCTCTGCCTTTGGGAGCCTCCAACCCCCTCTCTCCGTTGCTGCTCTTCCTCTCCTTCTCTTGTTTGTGTCGACGATCTCTGCGCGTTTGGGACGACACTTTGACTTGTCGCCGCGGATTTTGCATGGGTGGACGCAAGTCTTCACGCCATTGCAGGGCCCCGCGCTTGCGGGAAAAGGCGCTGCCCAGATAGCTCCTCCCGCGTCAGGGTGCTCCCAGAGGCCCTTGCCGCGACGCCCGTGGTGGCCAAGGGGGCCTCCAGAGGCCTCCGAGAGGGTCCGAGAGGACCCCGAGACGGTCCGCGAGCGCTCCGAGACGTGCGCGACGGCCTCCGCGCGGCCCACGGGGCCCCCGAGACGCTCCAAGAGGGAGGGCTCCGAGGGGAGTCCCTGGACAGCCCCAGGAAGCACGACTCGTCCAGCGGGAAATCTTGCATTCGGCACTCTCGTATTTTTCGCGGTCGAGGCGTCCGACACGGCCACGCGGGTCTCGCGGACCGCCCCGACACGACCCGAGGGGCCCCCGAGGGCCTCCAGACGGCCCAAGCGGCCCCCCCAGGATTGGCCCGGGAGGCGCCCCAGACGGCCCAAGAGGCAGCCAAACAAGGCGCGAAGGGCAGCCCAAGACGGCCCACGAAGGTCCCCAAGATCGTCCAAGAGGCGCCCAAGACAGTTCAAGAGGTCCCCAGATGGCCCAGGATGACCAGGGAGGCCATTAGGAGGCTGAAGACACGCACGCCCCCAGAGGCTCTCAGGCGACCCCCGCGAGGCTGGCCCAGAGAGCTCCACGATGCGCTGGCTGAAGGGCCGAGGATGACGCACTCATCAGACTCCGTGGCGGTAGAGCATGCGTGCGCGAGAATGGCAGCCTGTTTTTTAGGCCTGGCCCAGGGCGGCGTTGCTTTGGTGGCTCCGCTCGGGGGGCGACGCTGTCCCCGGCACCCAGACGACTCCTGGCTCGCCTCCACCTTGACCCAGCAGTGCCTGACATGGCCTCGGAGTGCCCCGACGCGCCTCCAGGATGGCATGGCCCCCCAGGCAGCCCCATGAAGGCCCCGGGGCGTTCCCTTCAGCTCCCAAAACGGCTCCAAGAGAGCCCCAGGATGGCCTCCAGAAGGCTCCTGGAGAGCCCACGACATAGAGCCTCCAGAGGGTCAGAGAGGGCTCCCAGAGGGCGCCACGACGGCGCACTAGGCCCCACGGAGAGCCGCGAGACGGCCCAGGATGACCTCAATGTAGCCCTGAGACGCCCCCCATACGGTCACGGCGTGACCTGGCACGACCTCCAGCAGCAGCAGCAGCAGCAGCAGCAGCAGCAGCAGCAGCAGCAGCAGCAGCAGCTGCAGAACCAGCAACGGCGCCATGAGCAGTTACCAGCAGCAGATCTCATCAGACATCAGCACTAGCAGGCAGCAGCAGCAGCGGCAGCAGCAGCAGCCTGCACCAGTAAGCATCTCCGAGCAGCAGCAACGCAGCAGCAGCACCAGCATTCGTCAATATCATCTGCGCAAAACAGCAAGCATCAAGCATCAGCAGCCAGTATCAAACAACAGGAATCAGCAGTACGAAACCGCAGCAAACAGGTGCCAACACCAGTCAACAGTTGGCAGCAGCATAAACGAGAAGCAGCAATCAGCTGCAAGTAGCAGCAACCAACGCTGAGCAATAGCAACCCGCAGCAATCGAATGAAGCAACCAATGAAGCAGGCAAGCTTGATACCAGACAGGCTTACCAGCATGCAAACAGGAACTTCGGGGCGAAGCTGTCAGGCCAGCAGGATAGCAGCCATGCGCGCAGGACAGCATGAAAGCAGGTAAGCAGGCATTGCGATCCGATCCCTTGCGTGCGAGCACATCTAGAATACTGGTTAGCTACAACGCTGGGATCAGCGCGTGCAGAACGGGCGATCAGTGGCAGCGGGCTTTGGCGCTGCTGCGCGCGATGTGGGAGGCAGAGCTGGAGCCCAACTGCATCGACATCACGATAGCGGGCGGGCCCTCCGTGCGCCAGAGAGGGCCCTGTGCATCATTCCGGAGGAGGAGGAGGAGGAGGAGGAGGAGGAGGAGGAGGAGGAGGAGGAGGCCCTCAAAAGGCTTTTGACAGGCCCCGAGAGGAGGGCACTGAGGAGAGGAAGCCGTAGCTGGCCCCACGATGGCCCCAAGACGGCTCCAAGACGGCCCAAGAGACGGCCACGCGGGCCCAGGGAAGCCCCCCCAAATCGCCTTAAGGCGTCGCAAGTAGCCTCAAGACGGCCCAAGAGGCAGCCAGGACGGCCCAGGGGGCTTCCAGGAGGCCACCCAAGAGGTCCCCACGAGACAAGAATCGTTGATCTTACGTAGGTGTTTTGAGGTTTTCAGCCGTCTCGCCGTCTCAACTTTCCGACGCTCCACGAGGGCCCAAGAAGCCTCGAGGACCACCCCAAGACGGCTCAAGATGTCCCAAGAGGGCCCCAAGACGGCCCAAGACGCGCACAAAAAGGCCGACGGACTCCCCACGTCGAGATCAAGTGGGGCCCACGAGAGGCCCGAGACAACTACAGATCTCCCCAAGCCGCCCAAAGGGCCCCAAGACGGCACAAGAGGCCTCCAAGACGGCCCAAGAGGCTTCCAAGAGGCTCCCAAGGGGGCCCTGGGAGACAAAATATTGATGTTTTTTCCCGGAAAGGGCGTGGGCCCAGGGTTCTCTCTTGGGATAGGAGCTTCCACCCGGAATCGACGGCTGTAGGGTCGGCGAAATGATTGTGCTGTAAATAACATGGTCGCGTAGGACCAGCGAATTAAGATGTTGAGGATGTCTCGAG